AACTCTTATAACTTATATTAGCACATAATTCTTGTCTGTGTTAGCCACGTGGCTTGGTGCATTTTTTGGTGAGGAAGTCACATCTTGCTTCCTCTGTGTCTTGAGGACAATTGCAGACTGAATCTTTCCTCTTCCCTGAATTTTCCTGTTCTCATTGTCCCATCTATAGTTTCTCCCTGGTTTCCCCACTTATACTTCTTGCCTGGCTACTGGTCAATTGGCATTTTATTAAAAATAATAAAAGTGACAAGATAAAAGACCATTGTCCCTCAGCAGTGATCCTATAAGATACAGAGGTTACTCCAATTATTTTGTACTTGTTGAGGTTTGCTTTGTTCCTGAATATGTGGTCAATTTTAAAGAAGATTCTATGAGGTGCTGAGAAGGTATATTCTTTTGTGTTTGGGTGGAATGTTCTGTACATATCTGTTAAATCCATTTGTGCTAGTTAGTTCTGTTAGTTCTCTTATTTGTCTGTTATTTTTCTGTCTGGTTGACCTGTCTATTGAGGAGAATGGGGTGTTGAAGTCTCCTACTATTAGTGTGTGGGGCTTGATGTGCAATATAAGTTTTCATAACATTTCTTTTTTATATGTGGATGATCTTTTATTTGGGGCATAGATGTTCAGGATTGAGATTTCATCTTGATGGATTGTTCCTGTTATGAGTATAAAGTGTCCATCTCCATCACTTTTGATTGATTTTAGTTTGAAGTCAATTTTGTTAGATATTAGGATAGCTACACCTGCTTGTTTCTTAGGCACATTACATTGGAAAATCTTTTCCCAACCCTTTACTCTGAGGTAATGTCTGTCTTTGAGGTTGAGGTGTGTTTCTTGTACACAGCAGAAGGTTGCATACTGCTTTTGTATCCATTCTCTTAGCCTGTGTCTTTTTATATGTGAAATGAGTCCATTGATATTAAGAGATATTAATGACTAGTGACTGTTAATTTTTGTTGTAGGATATGTGTGTTTCCATTCTTTGTATTTTCTTGCTATGAGGTTATTTGTTGCCTGTGTTTTTGTGGGTATCATTAACTTCCTTGGGCTGGGGTTTTCCTTCTAGTACTTTCTGTTGGGCCTTATATATGAATAGGTATTGCTTGAATCTGTTTTTTAATGGAATATCTTGTTTTCTCCATCAATGATGATTGAAATATTTGCTGGGTATAGTGGTTTGGGTTTGCATGCAGCACATCTGTCCAGGACCTTCTGGCTTTCATGGTTTTCATTGAGAAGTAGGGTATCATTCTGATAGATCCACCTTTTTCCTTTGCAGCTCTTAATATTCTTTCTTTATTCTGTATGTTTTGCATTTTGATTATTATATGGGGACATTTTTTATCCAGTCTATTTGGTGTCCTGTAAGCTTCTTGAACCTTTATAGGGATATCATTCTTTAGGTTGGGAAAGTTTTCTTTTATAATTTTGTGGAATATATTTTCTGTGCCTTTGAGTTGAAGTTCTTCTCTTTTTAGCCCTATTATTCTTAGGTTTGGTTCTTTCTTGGTGTCCCAGATTTCCTGGATGTTTTGTGTTAAGAATTTGTTGGATTTAATTTTTTCTTTGACCAATGATTCTATTTCCTCTATAGTAGCTTCAATACCTGAGATTCTCTCTTCCATCTCTTGTATTCTGTTGGTTACGCTTGCCTCTGTAGTTCCCATTCATTTACCTAGATTTTCCATATCCATAATTCCCTCAGTTTATGTTTTCTTTATTGCCTCTATTTCAATCTTTATGTTTTGAACTGTTTGCTTCACCTGTTTGATTTTTTTTTTTTGGTTTCCTTGTGTCTCATTGAGAAATTTGTTAATTTCTTCCAGTTTTTTGTTTGTCTTTTCCCCCATTTCTTTAAGAAAGTTTTTCCTTTCCTCTTTAAAGGTCTTTATCATCTTTATAAAGTTACATTTGAAATTGTTTTCTTCTGTTTCTTCTAGGTTGGGAGGATCAAGTCTTCTTGTTGTATGACCCCTGGGTTCTGGTATTACCATTTTGCATTTTAGGTTGTTGGTTGAATTCTTGAATTGGCTCCTACCCATCTCTTCCTTCACTTGATGCCAGCAGTGTCTTTGCATGTTGGTCCAATCCTTGCAGTGACTGTCTGTGTCTTGGGAACTGTTCTTGGTCTGCTCTGTACATTCACTGTCTGTGTCTCATAGGGCCACTAAGGTCTCTCTTGGTCCTCACTCTTGGCCTGCTGTCCTGATTTGCTCTCACAATACATTCTTAGCAGTCACAGCCTGTGCTCAAGAGTTTCTCTTTTGGTCTCTCTTGATCCCTTTTGTGTAGTTTCAGATTGTGTTTCAATATTCCCCTGAGACTATGGGAGAGGGGATTTGGAGGGTTTGGAGGGCTGAATGGGACTTGGAGCTTTCTGGGTCTGATGGATGGGATGGGGGTTTTGGAGTAGCCTATCTGCAGGAAACTGACCTGCTGTCTGGCTAGAGATGCCGATGCAGGTGAAGGGAGGGGCCCAGGGTTTTGCCCCAGTATGGAGTGCTTAGAGACTATGGTGTCCTACCAGGTGGATGGCCACTTGCCTCTAGGTCCTCTATGTATAGTATCAGGCTGTGTTTCAGAGTTTCTTTGAGGTTGCGGGTACAGGTAAGTTTAGGGTTGGGGTATGACTTGTAGCTTGCAGGATCTGATGATTGGGATAGGGGTATTGGAGCAGCTTACCTGTAGGTAACTCACCTGCTGGCTGGCTAGAGAAGCCAAGCCAGGTGGGGGAGGGCCATGAATGGGTTCTTAATAAAAGAAGACCTAGAAAAGGTCAGGTAATGGTCCTCTAAAAAAATGGCCATGTTGAACCATCTGGTCCATCCCCTTGTAATTCAACTTTCACTTCCTGCCCATCCTCAGACACACACTGATCTGGTCTCTGTTGCTATGGATTAGATTGTGAACAGTTTTTGTAAAGGTAATGACAAACTACCCTGTTCTATGGTTCGTATTTTTCCCTGTTGTTTTTGAGATGTATATAGTAGATACTCGTAACAATAATGTCGTCATTTATCTTGTTGAACAGTTTTGTAGTTTTGTTCTAAGGGTATGCTACACATATCTATCATTTCTCAATTGGATGGTCATTCAAATAGTTCTTACATTTCAGCTAACACTAGTAAAACAAACATCAAAATCTATGTGAGCACATATGATCTCACTTCTTTTAGGTAAGTACCTAGGCATGGAAATGGATATATCACGTAATTAATACTAAGAAAAATGTCTCCCAAGTGTTTGAAGTGCCTTCTATTCTCATCACTAGCTTCCAGACTTTTAGCCACTATACTAGATATGTATGGATGCTAAATTATGCCCAAAATTTGTTGCACCCTTATCCCAAATGATGACACCACTAATGCTTAGTGTGACTGTCTGTGCTTTTCTTGTGTGATATGTGGCTTCAATCTTCCTCCCTTAGAAGATCTGAGCTGTCTTTGTATTACTAAAGTATATGAAGTCCATATGTATTCTATATACAAACCATGAGTCAAATATGTTTTAATGGAATTTCCATCTGTCAAGGCTTGCAATTTTGTCTGAAGATTATCTTTTGGAAACAATAATTTTCATTTGGATGGAGTACAATTTATAAACATATTCAGCCTTCACAATTATAACATAATATATTCTATTTTTAAGCCACCTATTCTCTGCTCCTTTATCATGTTATTTCTACAAAAGGAATTCAATTCCAGCATCATTTAGTAATGAGATTATCTTTCATTACTAATTGTCCTTGTTCCTCAGAGAAAAATCAACAGACCATATTTGTATGGGGAGTCTTTCTGAATGTTCTGTCCTCTTCCATGAATGTATTTTACTCAATTTTATACAAACAATATACTTTAAAATAAGATTAAAATTTTTAAATTAATGTTTTGAGGCTTTTATATATGAACTATGTATATAGCTCAGTATAGCCCTCCTCCTTCCAACCCCTCTACTCCTCCCACTCCATTTAAAGTTACAACCTCTTCTTTAATTATTACCATTACACACACATGCACACACACACATGTACATACAATGAAGACATGTATTTAGAGTTTACTGAGTCCTGTTAACATTGCTTATATATAGCTGTATTAGCATTGAACCTAGTACATAAGTTCAGTGGCTGCTGAAAGGGAAATATGGTGCTTCATAATGCCTCTTAAAAACACTTTGTTGAGTCCTGTAGTTGGATTCCTTTTAAGGAGATTTTTGACTAGGTTTTGCATTTCTGAATTAATTTTTGAAATGCATGAGGAAATAAAAGCTTCCAAATATTTTGATTGACCAATAGATAAGCTAAATATCTTCAAACATAGCCAATACTGAGTCTTTTAAACTAAGAACATAGACCTTTGAGTTCTCTTAGGAGTGCTATGTCATTTGTAAGACTGGAAATTGGGTTTACATCCTTGTGAGTTCCCCCACTGTATTCCTTGTGTATTGATGCTACTGAAGTGGTCCTATATTGCATTTTCAGATGCAGTTGTAAAGATTCCTTCTGTGACTTAGATTCTATGACATGGATAAATTCTCTCTAGCCTTTTAAAGGCAAGTTGCATGGAATCATCTTCCTAAGCAATAATTTAATATATAAATAAATTATGTCTTTTTTTTCCTAATTTCCTGTTGCTGTGGAACAATGGTCTTGTACTTTAGAAAGATTTGTCACTTGAATTTCAATAAATGCTGATTGGTCAGTAGCCAGACAGGAAGTATGGGAGGGGTAACCAGGCAGAAAATAGAGGCGAGGCAACAAGAACAGGAAAATTCTGGGTAGAAGAAAGCTTAGTTTGCAGTCATCACAGAAGCCAGACACAGAGCAAGCAAGATGAGAATACCTCACTGATATAAGGAGCCAGGCCACATGACTAACATAGACAAGAATAATGGGCTAATTTAATGTGTAAGAATTAGTTTATAAGAAAAGCCTGAGTTACTAGGCCAACTCGTTTATAATTAATGTAAGTCTCTGTGTGTTTCTTTGGAACTAAACAGCTGCAGGACCGGGCACAACAGAAACCTCTGACAACATCCTGTCAACAATATGGCTAATCTTGGTCATCAACATGATTGAATCTAGAATTCATCTCTGGGTGAGTGTATTAAGACATCTTCGAATAGAATGAACTGAGGGGAAAGACCCTCCTCCAGAGTGGGCAGCTCAAACATTGAAAGTCCCAGGGAAAGCAGACTCCCTTGCCTATGTGCCTTGCTCACTGCTGGTGAGTGCATCTTTGTTGCTCCCACACCAGCCCTTCTTCTACATTGAAATCCAGCTTTCCCTTCATGTGTTTTATAAGTTTTATTGACATCAAATTCATTATGAAAAAGCTCATCTTTTACCATTGACTTTTAATATACATTTCATATATTTAAAGTGCTGTGATTTTAGGTCTTGTCTGTCACCACTAAAAATAAGACTTGAATGAATTAGTCTCAGTCCTCCTCCACCATGACATATCTACCTACTTGGTATCTGCCTTTTGGTTTACTTATTTTGGACAAGGATGCCAAAGGAGAAAGGATAAATCCAATATTCTATCTTGCTTTGTAATGTAATGTATTGGATGCAATGGGAATTTTAGTGATGAAGAAGGTCCAATATGTTAGACTATATTAATTTAAGAACACACAGTACAACCACATTATATTTTTGGTTGCAAAGATTCCAACTTTAAAAAGATTTTTAAGCTTCATATAAATGTGATCACACATTTTATATTTACCACAAGCAGTGGATAAAATTCTGTATGCATCTGGCAACCAATATATTGAATTAAACTCTGAAAAGAATGTTTCGGATTTGATGTGAGCTTCAAAAGAAACGGGTTTCATTCCAGGGTCTGTATTTTAATATTCTCATGAGGAAATTTAAACCAGTACCTATATTTCACTTCCTTCCAGATGCTGTGACACTGTGACACAAAATTGTTTGCTGTGTAGTACTCCATTGTGTAAATGTACCACATTTTCCTAATCCATTCTTCAGTCGAGGGGCATTTAGGCTGTTTCCAGGTACTGGTTATGACAATACTATATATTTCCTCTACTTGTCTTCTACAAAATTTTATGACACAAATTTAGCACAGTAATTTCTAATTATAAAAATTATACTTTCTTGGTGTGGCCAGCGCAGCCTGGATGCCGAGACTAGAGGGGGGTGCCAGGATTGAGACATGGAGGCTTCTTTTCAGTTGGAAGAACAGCAACCTTTATTTTCCCAGCATCCTTTTATACCTCTACTGCTTCTGTGGAAAACCACTGGCCAGAAAGAACACAAACATCCTTGTCAATTACAGAGCACAAGGATGTTTCCCTATCGATCAGGAGGAGTGAGAGTAGCTGGATCACAACACTTTCTGTATAAAAATTAAAAAATTCTAGAATATGAAACAATTCAGAAAATGAAAACGTGAAGTATAAATATAAGCTAAATCTTGTTAACATTTAAAATTTAAAGAGGAAAGAGTCATAAATCAATTGGTGATTCCTGGATCCTAGGTGTTGGCTCACCAGTTTTTTCAAGGATGTGGCCCCATGCTTCAGTAGATGGTTCAACATCCATGCCAATAGAAGTAGCATTAATTAGACTCCAATGTCAATACAGGCAGTCTTAAGTAGATTCCATGGGTTTAAAAAGAACACATGAAGTTGGAAAGGAAAATGCTGTGGTAAGGGGAGGAATTAGAGGGGAGGCAATGGAGGTGTATTTGATCAAAACTCCTTACATGCATGTATGACAATATCGTGCAATGGAATAGCTGAACAGGAAGTTAAGTGACTACATTAAAAAATAATCTCTATTTGAAGGTTGTTCGTTGTTCATCTCTCATAATGAGACCCATTATAGTGCACAAGCAAAATCTGCTAATAAATCATTTTCTCAGTATTATGTCCATGGTATAAGTTAATAAAGATTTTCTAAATTATTTCCTAACCTATATTTTATTTTTTATATTTTATAGTCATATAGAGTTATAAATTTTGGAAAATTTAAATAAAAATTACTGTTCATAAGTTTCTTAACATTTATATTTATATTAGCAGTACTGCCCCCACCCCCTTCTTCCTTTCCACTTGGAACCCTCTTTCTGAACACATCTTCCTTCTACTTTCTTATCTTCTTTATATGTGTATAGCCCACTGAATTTGATGAGACTTTCTTTCCTGAGAGTGGATGGGAGCTGATTTAATGGAGGAAAGGAAATATGCAGGAAATCTAGAGCCTATGAGGGGTTGGAGTGGTGTTAGTTTTCCAAACAACCTATTCTAGTGGAAATGAACCAGTTAATCAGTTTAATTTGATGCATATCAGAGGAAGTTCTGCCCATGTCCTAACCACCTTCTCAAAGTTCCACCACTTCTTAATACCACTTTGCCTGGGACAGAAACTCAAGCTGTATACTAATCATACCTGGCTGACAAAATCGATTTTTAAATGTTTTGTAGTAGTCACACCGCTACGTGCATTTTCAGAACGTTCCAAATTTTCCTGTAGGGCCTATCCCTATAAACACTTGACAAAACAAAACACGAAAAATATTTATTTAGAATAAGCAACCAGTTATCATTACTGACCTATTACTTACTGTTTTTCTAAGGTTTGCTATTCTAATGACGACCAACACTGCAGGTGTTGGGGCTTCCTTGTACAGAAAAGTGAATTGATCAGTCATTGTGGTGCACTTAGAAGGACAAAGAGGAGGATCAAAAATTGTTGGCAACATAGAGAACTCAAGGCCAGTCTGAGCTACACATATTTAAATGCCACGCTACGTATTCCCATCAAAGGCATTGAAAGGATAATGAAAAGACTAGAATTTATTATATTACATAGTTTCTTGTCATGAGTAGATACATACATTTTATAATTCAAATACTAATTTTAAATATTGTGTATGAAATGTGAGGGGATTTAGCAAGAATATTAACAAAAATCTTGCTTCAATAAAATAATTAATTTATTTAATAACATTTCCTTTATTTTGTAAAAATGCCAATTAACATTAGAAAATATTCAGTGTGAATTGTGTGATGGATATTTGGAGTTCTCTTAAAGTATTCCCCGTAAATCTCTTTTATTTGGTTTGCCTTTTACTTGGAAGCTGAGATATAACTTTTTTCTCAATGAAAACCTCTAATATTCTGTCAGTAATATTTTGAAGACATTCTCAAGTACATAGGCAACATGACCTTTGCAAAAACATACTATTGTTCTAGAAAGTTCTTGATGGAATTGGTATAATGCAGGAGGACCAGTTGCTATTTAAACATCTTCAGAAAAAAGGTCATGTACTCATTGTAATTCATTTAAATTACGGGAATAAATCAACAGAAAATGCATCTCTCTCTGCCAGATGTCAACCTCTTCTCTATTTATGGAAAACTGTACAAAAATGATTTTTGTTCCATTTGTGTTTGTGTGACAATTTTATTTTATAATTTTTTCTTCCTTCCTTCATTCCTATGATAAAGTTGTAGTCTATTATCATTTACCAAGTAGTTCTCTGTGGATGCAAAAAACCAGATGGCCCCAGCAGATGGAGCCTTGGAAGCCTGGTTGAAATGTCCCAGACACATCCATCATGTAAACACTCCATAGGCAATTTGAATAAAGCTGAAGATTTGAAATTCTGTGGACTGTAGAGGGTAGTCAGCTGTAAAGTTCATGTGCAAACACACGGTTGATTTTGACTTCTTAAAGAAACTTATTGTAATGTGATCTTTATGCATTATTTAATCATTTGACATTTAAAACACTCCACCAGATTATGATGGCAGGGAAAACCTTACTTGGGTCTCTTAATTCTATTATTGGTAGGAGTTACAAAGAAATGATGGACATTCTTACAAATCAGTTCAAAACTTTGAAGTTGCTTTGTTCTTGGACAGAGACAAGGAAATATTTTCATTTTATTTCAAAATGGTCAACTGGCCAGACCAATTAATAATGTTATTTTGAATGTAATTGAATCAGTTTTTCTTAAACCTTCATAAACACAGTGGCCTTGTATGTTCCACTGCTCACTAAGTAAGAGTTGGATTCTAATATCAAAAGATAAAATATTGACAGTTTGTTCTTGTTTTTACATGGTAGTTGTCTTATAAATATTCTTCTGCATTTATTTTCTTAAGGGTTAAAATCAAGCTGCTAGTAGACATTAACTGAAATTTCCAGTGGTTCTGCAAAAGGTCGCTAAATAAATTTAAAATTAAACTTAACCCCCCTAAAAGGAAAAAAATCAATTATGCTAGTGTACTTAAAATGCACTCACCCTTCATGTTCCTGTCTTCATATCCTTATAGGATTTTTTTGGGAGCAAAGTGAGTGGCTCAATAACCCTGCATTGTATTTCTTATTCATATATGGAGTGGAGGTTGCTAGAGGATACTTAGAAACATTGCTTTATGATTAACAAGATTATGATGGTCACAATTTGGCTTCCCTATCATTTGGGGAAACATCTGGTTATTTTTTAGATATAGTACATTTGAACTACATATGGAATGTGAAATTATGAATGATATAAAAGGTGCTTTTATGCATGTTGCAGGAGGACAAGCTTAGCCAGAAATGGCATGACTAGCAAGAAGCAGTGTTTGACCCATAATATAAGTCAAAATCCACCTTCTAGTTTAGATAAAATGTACAGGAAAAATGACGTTGGATATGATGAAAAGCCAGGATTGTGTTGTAGATGGTTGTTCATCAAGGCCAGGAATATAAATTTCATTACATGTATGTTTTGTGTGCTTTTCTATTTATGAAATGTGATGCTGTTTTTCAATTCATTTTGTGGCACAATATCTCCTTTCCATTTTTAAAAATTATTTATTTATTTATTATGTATACAATGTACTGTCTGCATGTATGCTTGCCTGCCAGAAGAGGGCACCAGGTCTCATAGATGGTTGAGAGCCACCATGTGGTTGCTGGGAATTGAACTCAGGACCTCTGGAAGAGCAGCCTTAAGATGACTTTTAACCTCTGAGCCATCTCTCCAGCCCCTTTCCATTGTTTTTTAAGTAAAGAGAGGGATATACTATAGTATACAAAATGAGCAGATAGTAATGGTGAAGATAGAACTGTGCA